AAGTCAACAGGTGAGTATTAAAGAACATGTGTATGAGGGAACCACCTAAGTACAAGAGAAAAAAATCCAAAGTGAATAATGATAACTCTTTTGTACCTGTGGCTCGCGGGACAGCTCAGTGGTCTAAAGCACATCTGTTAGACCGGAACATTTGAAGTCTCTCTGACTGTTCCTCCTCATTTACCTTTGTAGACATGTGCATCCTTCTGGTTTGCCTATGCTATTGACTGAAAAGGAATTGTCTTGCAACCCACATAAAATATACAACATTGCTAACACACATAAGGATCAAATTTTGGCAAGTTTGGGCAGGTGCAGGGGACCAAGGTTCAGTCCCCTCAGGGTAGACTGAGCCGGCCAAAAGAAAAAGAAAAAAAAATACTTTTAGTACCTAATACACTATGAAGAAGAGCCCAGGTTCCCACCAGCCACAGTGGAGTCCTGTAATTGAAGAGGCTATCACAAAGAATATTCCCAAGGATGGGCAGATGTAACCCTTTCTAAAATTACCCTGGAATCACTGGGTGTGGTGGAACACACCTGTAATCCCAGTACTTGGGAGGCTGAGGCAGGAGGATTGTTTCGAGTTTGATACCAGCCTGAGCTACAAAGTGAACTCAAGACCAGTCTGAATTGCACAGCAAGAACCTATCTCAAAAAGACAATAAATAAATAAATAAATAACCCTGGTATCAACATTAAGAACTTAAAATCAAGACTTGGAAGAAACAAACCAATTCCAAACGACACTATTTCAAAACAAATCTCAGGATTTTTTTTTTTTTTTTCGGTATCAGAGATTGAACTCAGGACCTTGTTCTTGCCAGACAAAGCACTTATTCTACTGAGCTATCTCCCTGGTCCAAGATTCTTTCTAGAAATAGAATATTCAGAATAGAGAATGGTAAAATTCACATTGTTTGTTGCTACCCAAATAAACAAAAAAACCCAACAACAATGAAAATCAAAGCAGGCAAAAAAGAGTAATCTATAATTATTCAACAAAAACATACATATAAATGACTAGGATGATCAAATTTAGTAGATAAAAACAGTCAATATTCTATATGTTTGATAAGCTAGAAGAATGATTGAGCATGTTTAGGTAGAGTTATAGAAGATAAAAATAAAAGACCCATATGGGGCCAAAGAGGAAAGTGATTGATGATGTAGAGTGTGCCTAAGGAGAGTCACATGGAGAGAAAACAATCTCTCAGGCTTTCCCAGAGAGCACATTGGCCAAGCAATGACTGTGACTCATCCACATGGCTGACACTGACAACAGATCTACAATCTGAGGTACAGGATCTCAGGATAAATCCTGAGGGGATTTTGCTGACCTCATCAGACCCAAAAGCTACAACTCTTGTTGCATAGGTCTTGCTTTATCTTGGTCTTAACCATCCAGCAGAAAAGTAAAAAAACGAAATATAAGAAGTAAAGCCATGCTGTTATGTTGAGCTGTAGGGGACTCAGGTCAACAATTTCTGACACTGCCAGTCAAGCGGAAGACCCAATACTATTATGGACTACTGGACTCTTAGAATATTTTGCTGAGTTCACACACCTATAATATTCAAATAATGGAACTAAACAAAAAAAGGAGATACCAAATGAATGTCCATTTTGTATCTGTGTATTCAAAATCGTTAGAATAGATATATAGATACATTCTCTTAATGAATAGAGGGATTTGTTCTAATAGTGTTTGTGGATAGGATATCATGTTCACATCTTGTACAGCAATTAACCACTAAGAAGAATGTATGCAATGTGTTAATTATTGAAACTGTCCTACCAATTTGGTTTGAAACAGTCTCATTGCTATTTGTTACTCTAAAATTATGGGAAAAAAAAATATCCCATGTGAAGCTGAAAAAAATAAAAAAAAATAAAAGATCCATACTAAGCTTATAAAGTCTACATTTTTTCACATGAAAAATTATACTGGATGGAGTCAGTGGTGGGTTAGGCTATTACAAAAAGAATATCATTTATGAATTTGAGATACAGCAATACCAATACAAGATACACACACACACACACACACACACACACACACACACACACACAAAGGATCTCAGCACTACTGGATAACTTCAGTCAAACTAATATTTGTGTAACTGAGGTCATCAAAAGAGAAAAGATGGAAACATAGAAATGTCTGAAGAAAAAAGAGCAAAAAAGTTCCCAATATGATGAAACTATAAACATAAAAACTGAAAAAGCTTAACAAATCACAGCCAAAAGAGATACTTATGTAGAAAACTACTCCAAGGCACATTATAGTCAAATTGCTCAAAATCTGTAGTAAGAAGAAAAATCTTAAAAGCAATCAGAACTTATACACTAACAGGAGTAAAAGGATGACAGCAGACTTCTCAAAAACAATGCAAGACAGTAAGCTAAGAAACATCATTTGAGCATTCAGATACACAATTATCTACTCAGAAATCTATAACCAGAAAAACCTATCTTTCAAAAATGAAAGAAAATACATATTAGACATACAAAAGCTAAAAAATAATAATAATTCCCTATATACCAGAACTATAATAATGTTAAAGAAATTTCTCTGGACAGAAGAAAAATGTCAGATGGAAGTCTAGACATATACAAAATATCTAACTAGATACTTGTCTGAGAAATGACATACAAATAACCATGAGGTATACAGATGTTTGTCAAGCTTCATCTGTGTTTTATCGTGTATCAATACCATTAAAGATGACAGATGTTTGTCATCTTTAGTCACTAGGAAAACACAAACCAGTATCAGTGAACAATCAGTTCATACCCAGTTGGTGTGGCAACAGGGTGATGGCTAAATTAAAAAAAGTGAACACAGATGTCAGTGAGAATGTGGAGAACTGGATACTGTATACACTGCTGATAGGAAAGTCACTTTGCAAAATAGTTTGTTTTTCAAAAAGTTAAACATAATTACCACATGACTCAGCAATACTAGCTATATTGGAAAAGAACAGAGAATATTTTCACACACAAACTAGTATATAAAAGTTCATGACAGCATCATTCTGAATGTATGCATTAGCTGATGAATGAATAAACTATTGTGTATTTAGCCATAAAAAAGGGTAATGATACATGATAAAACACAAATGACGCTTGATATCATAATCACACCTAAATTTGTAGACAACTGAACATAATCATGAGTAACAAACTAGATTTTAGAATGTCTTCAAGAGTACAAATTAGGGATTGTGAAACTTTCTATGAAAGATCTGATGGCAAATGTTTTTGGCTTACTGGTATACAGTTTGTAGCAACTCTGTCATTGTTAATATGAACAGATACGGACAATATCTAAAATGGGCATAACTGAGATTCAAACAAATTTTATGCATTTACAAAACGAACAAGAGAAAGATTGGCCCACAGGTCATAGATTGTAAATACTGTCTTCAACTTTAGCTGAGGAGAGAAAATATAATAAAAATTAAAATAAGGGCTGGAGATATAGCTTGGTGGCGTAAGTGCCTGTCCAGCACATGTCAAGTTTGATCCCTGATACCGCAAAAAATAAATAGGGCCGGGGAGATATCTCAGTAGAATAAGGGCCTGAGTTTAATCCCCAGTTACACAAAATTAATTAATTAAAAATAAAAATAAGAACTACACTCAATAGGACTGGTGACAGTGGACATTCTTATCTTGTTCCTGATTCTAAAGTGAAAGCAACCATGTTTATAACACTACAATTTGTCATAGCTAATCTTGGAAACAACCGAAATGCCCATCAACTGAGGCATCGAGAAAAAAGATGCATTTTTACACAAAGGAGTGCTACTCAGCTATAAAGAAAGATAAACATGAAGGTAAATGGATGCAACTAGAGACCATACACAGAAATGAAATAAATCAGACCTGCATGTGTAACCATCGTATTATCTCCTTAGTGTAAGAACCTGAGAGAGTAAATAAAATGTAAAAGGTACAATAGATATTGTGAAAGGGAAAGAAACTGCACAATAGGAAAAAATAACTGGGATGACAGAAAGGAGAAAAGAAACAAGAGGAAAAAAATACACACATACACACACGATAGCTAAGATAACTGTACTATTAATTTCTAGTGTTTATTGAAAGGAACAGTTAATGCTTAATTTTTGACCAATTTTGCATGCTTTTATCTGTAATCTGAACAACTACTATGAAGACAACAAGATGCAATATAACAACCACTGTTGAATTCCTATTATCTTGTTTTCTGAAATTCTGTATTGTTTCTAATGTGTGTGTGTGTGTGTTTTTAATGAAAAGAAATTAAAGTAAGTAAGTTAGAAGTCCTTTGGGCAGAAAAAAAGTCAAATGGAAGAACTCTAGATATATAAAGGAAGATCCAACTAGATACTTGTCTGAAAGGTGACATACAAAATGACCAAAAATGTACACAGGCATTATGATTAAGACAAGGCAGAAATAAATGACTGGGCTATAAAAAGTAAGGATTATTTTCCAAGTGAAGGCAATGATAATAATAATAATATAGGCCAATTACTTTTGGTACTGGGAATTGAACTCAGGATCTCATGCTTGCCAGGCAGGCACTGTGCCACTGAACTATATCCCCAGCCAGGCCAATTTTTTAATAGAACATTATTTTTATATAAAAGGGTATATCCATCAACAAATTCACAATAACAGAAATAATAAAGGATATATAATTTTAAGAAAATTCTTATTAATCTGATTTACTACCACATAGATCAAAATACAGACCTTTGAAGACATGCTGTATTAAAAGAATAAATTTTCGTAAGGCTTAAAACATGTCTAGATATTTGAAGCAAAACCTTAGAGTAATCTAGACACTTTACATTCATAATCAGTATCATTAAAGAAAACCTTTGAAGTTTCTCTACCTTTTAATGAATGCTTGTAGATCACCTCATGTTCTTTTAATTTCAGCTTCTTCTGCCCTTCTTGGTCACCACTTAAAAGAACTAATAAAATACTTCTAAAAAATTACTGACCTGTTCATCTACTGAATCTCCTGAACCTTTTAAAGCCTCCACAGAAATTGAAGCATCAGTCACCCTGGAAGTCTTCACTTTAACATCAGCTTTCGGATTTAGCAACTTGTGTCTTGACCTCATATTTCCTTCTGTAGAAATTCCTATGGGTTTTCATTAAACAAGATTTCAGAAAAATGTATCATCTTACTCTCTTAAACCCTTCTCCATCAACCTTCCTTTGTTGGTATTCTCTACTTTATGGAATGGGATGGAAAGGATTTTCTTTACAAAATTCATTTTAAAGCTCTCAATATATAATGCATCATGAAAAGATTATGCTTTAAAGAAATTCTATAAAAAATCAATTACAATATTTTAAAAGGCAATGTAAACATTTATAAGCCACAATAAAGCCAAGTAATTTGAACATGTATCACTGATACCTTAACATTAGGAGAATCAAAGATACCACCTAAGCAGGGTACTTTCAATGATTTCATTTTACTATTCATCTAATAACTACCATTAAATGTTAAAGAATTTCTTATATATACCTGTATCAAAAAGTTTTTACATGTTCTTTTGAAGTGATACATTTTATATTAATTTTATTGAGAAAAAAGTACAATGAGACAGTTTCAAAACAGGTTAGTAGGACAGTTACAATAATACATTGCATATTGTTGTCTTCATAGCAATTATTCATAGTACTAGATGCAGACATGGTATCTTGTCTAAACACTTATTTAAAAACTTTCCTCTCATTGAGCTAAGAAAGTAGCTGTATATCTATGCTATTTTGTATATACAGATCTTTTTTCACTATAAAATGGTCTGAAGTAATACATTTAGACTATTCATTTAAAAGATTTTAAAAAGAATCTATATCCCTTAATACATTAAATATACTGCAAGTTCATTAAAAGTTGACTCAATCTAGCTAGTTCCTAAAAAGAGCCAGTATTTTAAACCTTAAAACTCTGGTCAAACGTTTTTAAACATGTGAATTTTTATATTTGTTTTGAACAAATAATGTTGGGTTCTGATGGACTGCTATGAATTCAAGTATACCTACAAAATTATCCTCAAGTTTTACTTTCTAATACTTAAACAATGGAAGCTTCCCAAATTTTAACACAGAAAGTCATACCTGGAACAAACACTACTGATTGTTCTTCATCAGAAACTATGAAAAGAATCATGAAGGAAAATACTGTAAAAGACTGTAACAATAGATATATAGTTACATTCTGTTAATGAATAGAATGATTTGTTCTAATGGTGTTTGTAAACAGGATCACAAGTCCGCATCTTGTACAGCAATTAACCACTAAGAAGAATATATGCAGTGTATTATTTGTTGAAAAATAAAAAAAAAATTAAAAAAAAGACTGTAACATTTTCTAAATGCTGCTATTATATGCATGTTATAATTCATCTTATGACCTAGAAATTGATAACTATTGAAAATAAAACTAGAAAGACAGGTAATTGAATTAAATGCAGCAAAATCAACAGTATTTAAATAATATACAAAAATTTTGGAGAGCCTTGTTTCATGAAAACTTTTTTATTCATTATGAAAGCAAGATATCTTATTATATACACCCTGTTTTCAAGTTCCTTTCCTTTTGTAAGCAAGCAGCTAAATTTGCCCATTAAGAAACTAGCAAGTTACTTCTACCTAACATTTCCATATACTGGATTTCAAGATGAGCTCTGAAGATCAAATCACTGAGTTACAAGTCAATCATGCAAAAACAAAGGCAATATTCTTTTACACTGCATTCATAAAATGTCTTAAAAAGTCCTACTATCAAAAAAGTGGATAAAATTAAGAAAAAGAAAATCACTTTGAATTTCAAAAGGCAAAATTTAGAAAGGCTAAGATTATAACATTGCTACAGAAAGAGGACCAAAATAATTAAAAGCTTTCTCTTTGGAATCAAAATCATAGTCAGAACTATACCTAAATCCAGATATGCCCAAATTTTCTATTATACTCCAGATAAGCATCAGCTAGACAATTTTCTTTCCAAATGATCTAGAAAATTTCCCAAGTATTCTGTTCTTTTGCAAAATGTACTCAAAGATCTCTATGCAAAGCAATTATTAATTATGGCCTTCTAGAAAAAGGCTAGAATAGGTTTAATAATGTGGTCAAAAAGGTAATCTACAGTATATCAACCTTAATAATGGAGTCTTTCCAGGCAATACTAACCAAAAATGCCTAGAATGACATAAGAATATTAGGAATATTCAAATCCTTACTGTCCAAGCTGCAAGTTCATTTCTCTCTGCAGCACCTAAAGTACCACAACTTTAATATTTAAGCTGATAAAATGTCTCCCTAAATTTTCAGTTTCCTCAGACATCAGAGATAGGGTTTAGAAAAGGAGATACATAAAGCAAGTAAACAAAGTTAGAACCACGGTGCCAAAGAAATTGACAGCATCTGAGAGCAGAAAATGTTTAAATTCACTGGACACCAATTTAAAAATAGCCTTATAATAGGGCCAGGGAGATGGCTCAGTGGAATAAATACTCCCCTGGCAAGGGCAAAGGCCTCAGTTCCAATCCTCCAATCCCCGGTTCCACCAAAAAAATAAAAATAAAAAATAAAAATAGCCTTATAAAATAAAATTGTTCAAGTTCACCCATGACAAAAAGATTAATTTTTTTATATCCCTTAGAATGTACACAGGACCCTGTACACACAATAAGCACTCAGTAAATTGTCTATTTGCTATTTGAAATGTACTTGGGGAAAAAGTATCTAAGGAGAAAAATTCAAGACAATAGACACATGTTCCATTGCTTTTAACTAGAAGACAAAGTAGAGGAAAATTTTCAGACTACTCTCCAAAGATGACCTATGGAAGGACTAACACAACTTTTGAGTCAAGGAAAACAAACTACACTTCCTAAGGCCACTCACAAACAAGTCTGCTCACAATGGAAGGGATCAGCCATTGGAGAGCACACTGTGCTCCACCCTGATTTGGAAATGTGGTCAAGTATTTCCTATTTTCTCCCCAAACCTGTTACCTTACTCTCATACCTTACTCTCAGCTAGTAAACTGTTTCTTATTTCTTTAAGGAAAACAAACTGTAAAGATCTTCCCCAGGCTTTTGCCAGCTTACTTTACACTGCTCATGGACTCTGCTTTTCCTCTTTTTGTTACAGATGAAATACCTTTGAAGCATCTCTCTAAATGCAAATTCTTACATTAAAAATTACCTTCTTTCCTAAAGATACTATTTGTTTTTTCCTCCTTTCTCCTGAACAAATCATTTTTTCTATTTAACTTGGTCCATCAGCATCCACCTATGCAATACCTTATTTTTCCAAGAAAAAAAAAAATCTCTCTTGATTGTACACTCCCCTCCAGCTATGGTCCCACTTCTGTTCCCAGTCACTGCCTCCAGTTCTCCTCCATTCAATCTTGAATTTTCTATAATCAAGCTTTTCAGCCTGTAATCCCAGCACTTGAGAGGTTAAGACAGGAAAATGGCTCTGAGTTCAAGGCTAGCTAAGGCTAAACAGTGAGTTCAAGGTCAGCAAAACAAAATAAACCAAGCCTTTTAAGTCCACCAATCCAAGATTACTATTAATATACTTATAATATCCTGTACTGTTAAATCCATTAATCCTCAGGCTTCTCTGTACTTGATCTATCAATACCACTTGACATAGATGACCACTCTCCTTAAAACACCTTCTGCGCCTGTCAATGACACTGTAATAATAATTTTCCTCCTACTCTTTTAATAATTTATTCTGTGTCTGCTGACTCTTCCTGCCCTATACATCTCGGGAATGCCCCAGGGCTTAAATCTTACACTGATATTGCATCTACACCTTCTCTTCATGATCTCCTCCTGTCCTCATGTCTTTAAATACCATGAATAAGCTGATTTCTGCCAAATTAATCTTTAATTTGTACCTATCCCCCAAACCTGACATTACCACTTATATACAAAACATCTCAAATTTGCCAGGTAAGGTAGTGCATGCCTATACTCCCAGCATTCTTTGGAAACTAAAACATGAGAATCACAAATTCAAGCCTGCTCTGAGCAAGTTATACAGACCACATCTCAAAATGAAACATAAAAAAAGACTGGGAGAGCCAAGTATAGTGGTGCACATCTGTAATCCCAGCACTCAGGAGGCTATGGCAGGAGGATCACTGCAAGTTCAAAACCAGCCTGGGGTATAAAGTGAGCTCAAGGCCAGCCTGAACTACAGAGTGAGACCCTGTCTCAAAAAGACAAAAAAAAAAAAAAAAAAAAAAAAAAAAAAAAAGTTCAAATTCAACACTGAATTTGAGGCCAAAATCATAACATTATCTTTGACTTTTCTTTCATATCTTACATTCTTAAAATTCTGCTAGTAAGGCTTTCAAAATACATGTATACATAACTACTGTCTAACCACTTTTCAACATATCTCACCTTGATCCAAGACACCTTTTCTCTAGTCAAGACTCAGAACTGCTTTCTCAGTTCTAGGCATAACCCCTCAATAGCTCATTTTTCACACAGTGATCGGAATGAACATTTTAAAAATTCTTTTTTTTTGGTGGAACCGGGGATTTAACTCAGGCCCTTGCGCTTGCCAGGCAAGCACTTATTCTTCTGAGCTATCTCCCCAGCCCCCATTTTAAAATTTATGTTAAATTCATTCACATTAAAAGCACAGGAGCACTTATAAGGACTCACAGGGCTCAAAATTTGATCACTGTATCCTGTTACCTCTGACCTCATTTCTCATTACTCTTCCCGTCACTCATTCCTGGTGTTATGGTTTGTGTCTAAATGTTTCCCTAAAGCTTCATGCAGTCATAGGAGGGTGAGTTTTTTGGAGATAGTTGAATCTACAGAGTTTGTAACTGATTCATACTGCAGCCCTGGAATTGCTGGATCACTCCATGGATTGAGCTGGCACCACCCGAGCCCCAGCAGTCTAGATAAGACACAGAAAAAGGCTTGTTTCCGCACTCTATTGTTGCTTTTACTGTCCTCTGCTGCCATGAACTATTTATTGCCCTTGTGCCAGGCCACCCTGGTGGAGAACACTACGAAGTAGCTCAGAGCAGGACTTAATACTAACCAATTGGCTTTTGATGCTTACTTGTGAGTGTGTCCAAGGCCTAGGCCCCTTGTCTGGACATGGGCAAAAGACTCAAGTGAACGTGTATGAGTCACTGATCCCAGCTGAGGCCTGTAATGGCTGGTGAAGCCATAAGGCTTCAAAGGACAAGACAAGGTAGGACACATGGTTCCAATCTCAATTAACTAGATAAAAGATTTGGAGCTGCAGGCATATCATTCCTGGTTAGAGACCTTCCTAGAGATAACACAGCATTCCTAAATTAACATGGTGTCTTACTTGGAGAAGTCCTTGAGAGATTCCAGCCTTGCCTTTTTCAGTATTTCCCGCCCTTGTTTTGTAACTGAAAAAATACGGGCCACCCAGGGAATCTCCTGGAGCTCTAAAAATCATACCACTTGACTCATTTATTTAAGCCTTTACCATCCAGTTTGGGAGATTTTGGTCCTGATCAGTCAACAATAACTAAGGATAATAATAACATATAACCACCCTGCCTTGAGTATGAAATGAAACCTTTTCAAACAGAAAAACACTAAAGTGACTTCAATTTTTTTAAAAAAGGATACAGATAAAAATATTTAAAATTGCTTGCATTCAAATTTTCTTTCTAATATATAATCAATCTTCCATCTTTTTATCTCACTATACAGAATTTTCCCAAAACCTACATTTTTATGAAAAAGTGAAATAGATGTAATATATGCCAAATGTATACTGGCTATACTATTGTATTCCATGTGCCACATTATTTCTACTTTGACTTCACACACCTTAGTAAGGCAAGTATAACAACTTATAAAGTATTTTTTATACTGATATCAATCTAAAGTCCCAAAACTGAAGCAGTAATTAGAAATCAAGGGCAAGAGCCAGCCAGATAGCTCAGGGAACTAAAGTGCCTTGCTTAAGCAGAGCTTAATGGCTGGCATTCCCTCCCCAGCATGCTGACCCCACCCCTGGGGCATTCTGAAATGGTGATTGAAACTGGGCATGGTGGTGTGTGCCTGTAATCCCAGCACTTGGGAGGCTGAAAACAGGAGAATCACAACAAGTCAGATCTACATAGTGAGACTCTGTAGACCCTCCCTGTACCAAACACACACAAAAAAAGAAACAAACAAACCCAGAGCACATATGGCAGAAAATAATACACATCTCTATTCCAGATGTCTAGGACTGAAGTAAGTTTAGTACTAACCACTTTAACATCCAGGTGTATGCACATTATTATCAAGCATGAAGACTTTCTGAGCTACGATATGTTTTTTACATCAGTATAAAGTCTTTGTCTACCTTTACTTGGAAATCCAATGGCAGAGATTATAGCAACTGCAATGTTTTGAGCGTGTCCCTTGCAGTTCATATTTATTAACAATGAGCTACTAATACTGTTAAAGATAGTCCTGTTGAGTGCATTTACGCAGTCAAATTTACTACTTCTCCTATTACTAGCAACTATAATGAAGCAGCAAAGCAATTTACAACTGATGAAGCATATTTTATCGGAAGATTTAACCTATGAAATGGTAATATGCCATATCCATCCTTTACATGTCAAGGACTAAGGCAAACGTATCCCAAAATAACAATGCTGAAACCATAATGTTCTGGATATATGAAACAAGAACAACAGTTTAAAAAAAAAAAAAAGGTGACTATCAGTCACAAATGATCTGTCCTCTTATGATGGAAACTTCCATGACCAAGAAATCATTCAATCACATTTCTCTAATTGCTTAGATGAGGTATTGAAAATTGTTTTTTTCAATAGTGTAAAAAGAATGTCAAATAATACAAACATACTATTTGACCTTTTTCTACTGAAAATTCTACTGTAAAGATCCTTGGGATGGTCTGGGAAATCATTAACTTTAACAGAAATGAAATCAAAATGCAAAGCACAGGATTAAACCAAATGATTAACAACTACCATTAATGCTTTTCAGCAATTATTTGGTAACAGACTTACATCTAACACTGCTTTGATGCCCTACCTATCAACTTAAAGAGAAAAAACTGAAGGCTGATATTAATAGCTTATTATATGGACTAGGCCAGGGAAGCAGGTGGTACTAGTAACCTTCAATTCCTTTCCTGCATCTGAATTTCTATAAAATGTAATCATTACCATGTTTTCTAATACAATTTCAATTTCTTACTATCAAGAGATAGATAAGCATTTGATACTAAATCTTCAGAGTAAGAGAAAATCTATATGACTTCTACATGATATAGCTACACAAATAAGCAAAGGAAGAGCACAGGTTCAGTCTACATGCTTATTAACTTATCTGGTCTAACTGAAACAAGTTGTCACACACCCTTCAACCATGTACTCTATATTTGAACAATACTATTGTTACAAGGTGATAACTCTTAGGGCTGGGGAGATAGTTCAGTGAAATAAATGATTGCCTGGCAAGTACAAGGTCCTGACTTTGATCCCTGGTACCACCAAAAATAAAAAATAAACAAATAGACAAGTTGATAACTTTTAAGAGTCTCATCAATTTCATGAGGAAAACTCATCTCAAGTTTCTGACTTCCTAATTCAACCCCAACATACACATTCTCTTTTCATCCCTGATAGGTAAATATCATTCATTATAGGTAAAGGAAAAAAAAATTAATTCACACAGTGCCCTGGTTTGCTTTCATCCAGAGTCTATGTTCACGACTTCATTTGTGTCTCACCAGTCTACCAGAGGCAAGTGATAACTATGTTTAGTAAGTACATAATAGTAAACATGTAGCAGCATAGTTTTCAAAAATATTCTCGACCCACAGGACACTCTAATCTTAGTTAACACAATAAAAGGAACTGCTAATACAATTCTGTAAGATTCCCAGGAAGCTAAGTACAATGTCTAAGGAGTGATTCTGCCAAACATAATAGCAATGCTATCACCAAGCCTAGCAAATAGACCAAAATACTAGCCTCTGGGCATGCAGCAACACTCCCTCTTCCAAACGATGCCCTTATAACGAAGAATTTAAAAAATTACAAGAACGAAAGCCCAGGCAACAACAGCATACCTAATCCAGGGACAGATCAAGTATAAAGCAAACATTTCAATCTCACTGCAGGTGCTGTATTCAGACTACTACCAGAGGGATAGAAAGCTCCAGAAGTTCTCCATCCCCAAATGTCAATCCCTGAAGATAGTGATCCACAATCCACACTGGTAAATCAAAGGAACTTCCAGGTACAAAGATTCACAACCCATTCCGTAATAAACGCCACTAGGAAATTCAGGTGAAGCCAAACCCTACATCTCTCCTAAAGCACCAACACCAAGCCTTCATCACTTATGAGCCTTCGAGGTCTAACCAGGTCTTCACTTGCTCCTATCATAGCCAACCACGGACAATTCTAAATCAAGGCAGCCGCGTCCAGCTGACACCCAGTCTCCCTCAACCACAAGCTCACGCTACACACCCGTTCCGCCTGAGGACTGGGAGGCTCAGCAGAGTGATGCTACCAGCCCAGGCGCGGCCATGATGGTAGGCCACCTTTCCCGAGTTCCTCACCGCCAAGAACAGGTGGGAATTATGGGCACACCTGGAAGTGCAGACTGAGTCACACAATACCCCGCCAGGGAAGAGCCCGGCCCTACACTGAGGTCTCACAGCAGCAGGCCCCGCCCCCGGGGTCAACCCCGCGCTTGGGTCCCCGCGGAGTCGCAGGCCAGCGCTCGCCCCTCGCGGCACTGAGGAAGGCGCCGGCGCCCCCTGCCAGCCAGGCAAAGGATACAGTCGCGGCTCCAAAACGCCGCGCCGTCGGGACGGGAGGGGCCCGCCGCGGCCGCCATCTTGAAACAACCGCCACTGGGAGCGTCGCGCCGCGGCCGCCACACCCCGGCCTCCAGGCGCCATCCCCATTGGCCGTCCCTCTCAGAGGCCCGCCCCCGCTTGCGGGCTAGGCAGCGGCTGGGCCGGGGCTTACGGGTGAAGGGGAGGCGGGGTCGCGGAGCTGCGGGGTGGTACCCTGACCCGGGCCGCGGGTAGGAGCGCCCTGCCGTGAGGCTGCTGCGGCAGGGCCCGCCCGGGTGCCCCATCCTCCTCCCGCGCGCCGTCAGGCCTCGAGAACTACAACTCCCGGCATGCCTCCGCCCCGGAGGCGCAGACGCTGAGGCGGGGGCCCCCGGGCCACCTCTGGTCCGCGGGTCGTCGCCTCGGTGGCAGCCGCGCGGCTAGCCGGGACGGGAGCCATGGAGGACGCGTCACCCCCGACGCCCGGCTGCAACAAGCCGCACCTGGAGAAGCTGACCCTTGGCATCACTCGCATCCTAGGTGAGTAGGACAGAGGGATGTGAAGTACAAGAAGGGCGGATGGCGTCGTGGACCGCCGGAGCTGGACCTTGCATATGGGTGGGCGTGGGGGCCCGGGGTGTAACTAGGCCGGGGAGGGTGGGCCGGCAAAGCTGGGAAGCCCCAGCCTCCCTCCTCCCATCCCGGCTTGATCCACCCAGGGCTGGAAAGGACGAGTAAAGACCTGTGAAGGGAACACGGTGAGCCCCCGGCGAGTGGGAGGTCAGTGTTTGGGTGGGCGTTCTCTTGAACTTCCCTGAGCCAAGACAGGCCGGTGCCACCGTGTACAGAGCACTTGAACTGCTCAGGAAGAGTCAAGCTTGAGCTGCTGAAGAGATTAGTTGTTTTTAACAAATGTTTATGCTAGCCTCTGGGGCTATAAAAATACAAAAGACAGAACACTAGGTTTCTACCAGTAGCCTGAAAAAAGGTCAGCAATCACTGCCCCCAGGTAGTATAGAGGAGGTCGCTGGCATTTCCCAGAAATTAAAAAACACATCTCAGAGAAAATGAACCTAGATATCAAAAAAAAAAAAAAAAAAAAAGTTAACTAGAAAACTAAGGAGATTGTCCATGCAGGCTGAAAAGCATGCTCCAGTGTCTGCTCATCACAATTATAATAAAATCTAAGTATCTTTACCGTGACGTTCCCATCCCTGTAAGTTCTGTTGTCTTCTGTTTTCACTATTTTAACCTTGGTGGCCATGTTCGTGATACTAACCTTAAACACACTGAGGCTGTGCCTGCTTCAAGCTCTTTGCAGTTGGCTTCGCTTTCCACTTGGAATTTTCTTCAGCGTCTCCCTCCCATCATTCACATCTCTAGTCAAATTATTGTTAGGCGGCGACCTAGCGCGGCGGTCCCCGCGCCGGGCTCTAGAGCGCGAGGTCGCCGGTTCGCGCCCCCGTCCCGACTCTTTCTATTTAGGCGGCGACCTAGCGCGGCGGTCCCCGCGCCGGGCTCTAGAGCGCGAGGTCGCCGGTTCGCGCCCCCGTCCCGACTCTATTTGGGCCGGGGAGATGGCTCAGTGGAATAAGTGCAAGCGCAAGGGTCTGAGTTCAATCCCCGGTTCCGCAAAAAAAAAAAAAAAATTTGTTGTTACCTCCAAGACACCTTCCTAGAATATAATTCTTAACATCTCTTCCCATTCTTTTTCGTCCCATTTTATTTTAATTTAGCAAAACTTATACTACTGTATTTGAAATTATGTATTTGGTTGCTGTTTGGATTTGCTTCACTTCTACAGTAGACGTCCAAGACAAAGTGTGATTTGGCCCAGGAACATGTAATTTGTTTAATATTTAAAAGTTAATTAAAGTAGTATAACCAGTTGGGAGACTGAAAGACAAAAACCACCTAACTCTCAATAGGTGAAGAAACAGCACTGATGAAATTCAAAATCTTTTTGTGATGATTAAAAATAATTTAAGATGTTCTCATCCTAAAGAGGGCATCTGTGAAGAACCAACTGATAATATCATGATGATACCATTCACAACAGGGATAAAGGGCCTCTCCCTCTTCAGGACCCACACTCTGTTTCTTTCAGTGTGACTTTAAAAATTCTGCCTAACAAATCTCTTTATGCCTTTTACTGATGGGTACTGAAAATTCTTTTTCAGTGATGGCAGTCAGCAAACCCTGTAACTTGCCCCACAGATGGTGTTAGTTAAGATTCCCCTTTTCCACTTTTGGGACCTGCTTGGGCCCTGTCTAGTGACATTTTCTTTGGCCATCAGCCCCAGGAGATATGCAAGGTATCAAAGCTACAATTTTGACTTCTTTAACTCTTAAGCTGATGCTCATCTATGGTATTATTAAAACAAACTGTTCCTGATAACTGCAAATGTGTCTTCTGCATTATAAAACCTACATCTAAAAGTTACTGCAAAGTCAGTTTCTGCTCAAGTATCAGTGGCATGCAGATAACAACCCTATCTTCATCTCCATTAGGTCAGTCAGAATGAGATCTTTTTTGTGGTTAGTATGGTCAACACCCCTATCTGTCTGAAGTACCAGTACTTCAGCTCCTCTGAAACCCATAAAAATAAGGCATCAAAGTCAGGAGGGAAAATGAGGTAGGATAGAGCACCTTATGTCTTTCAGTGTGTACTTTTAAAATTCTGCAAATTTCTATGCCTTTTTTAAAAAAGCAGCAACAACCAAAAAAATGTTTTATCGTTCTCCAACACCATACCAGGTTTAATGATTCAATGGTAGGAATAGAGGACTTGGGAGATGGTCATATGGTTGTGCAGCATTAAGGAAAAATAACAAAATTAATAGAGGTAAAAGTGCATGCGCAAAAGTCAGTGAAATCAAATGCAAACTTTCAGGAGTTCTTGCAATAAAACTATGTGGGACAGAATTAAATCATTCCGCAACATTTTTTGACAACATGTATGTAATGTTGTCTACCTAAGAAGCTTACCTCAGTCAAGGAGTCAAGACCTTTTATTGGAAAACAGTCATATAAAAAACCCTTACTTAGCATATACCAAAATTCAAGAGACCCTAAAGAAAAATAGTTATTCAGCAAAAAACAGATTATTTGCACTCACAAGATATAGTGAGCCATTCTTACCAGAGAATGATGAGAGAGAAGCTTTCTAGATGCTAACCAAGGGCCAGCCTTACAAGTTGTTGAAGGATTGCAGTCTCAGGCTTAATATGTTTGATGTTTTCTGCACAAGAATTCACTTTAACGGTGATACATGCATACTCATCTTAAAGCAGCACAATTCATAATAATGCTAAATTTTGGAAACAACTTATCTATCCACCAATAGATGAATGAGGAAGAAAATGCATTTCTACACTGTAAAGTACTACTCTGCCACAAAGAAGAATAAATGAGTCATTTGTAGAAAAATGGATGTACCTTGTGATTGTGATTTAAGTGAAATAAATCAGACACACACAAGCTTAAATATTGCATGGTTTCTGTGATATGAGAAACCTAAAATATAAATAGAAGTGAAATAAAAAATAGGCAATACATGTCAAGTGTGGTGGTGCATGCCTGTAATCCCAGCTCTTGGGAAGCATAGGCAGGAGAAGCATTGTAAGTTTAAGGCTAGCCTGAACTACATAGTGAGACTCTGTCTCAAAAAACCAAAGGAGGGGGGGGAGAAAAGATAGTAGGAAAGGCCAGCCAGATAGCTCAGCAGATTAAAGCACTGGGTTAGGCAGACCCAGGGACCAGGATTGGATCCCTGGGCCATGTCAGCCCCACCCCCAGGGCACACTGAGCCAGTGATTGACACTGGATGTGGTGGCACACACCTGTAATCCCAGCACTTGAGAGGCTGAAAACAGGAGGATCACTACAAGTCTGGACTGTGTATTGAGACCTTGTAGACCCTGTATTAAATACATTAAAAAAAAAAAAAAAAAAAAAAAAGGAGATGATCTTTCTCAAACGGGATGGGGGGATGAGGGGAAGGGCATGAAAACAGAATAGAGATATGTTACATACAATTACCAGCTCCCCACAAGGAGTATAATCATGTGCTGCAAACATAGTAATAAAACAAAATGAATAGCTGCTAGCTACTGCCCCCCTAAAAAAGAATACATTGTTATCACTTCAATACTGTATCAGAGGTTCTAGCTAGGGCAGTTGTAAATGTAAAATAAAGACATATGAATTGGGAAAAATAAAAGATAATCTCTACTTACAAATATGCTCTTATATATTAGAGAAATTCACACAAAAGGAAAAGAAGTAAACATTAACAATGAACAATCCAAAGATAAGAAAATAAGTCCACATACAACAGTATCTAAAAGAGTAAAATAGAAATAAGTTAGTATGATTGTTTTGTTTGTTGAGCCAGGGTCTTGCTATGTAGTTCAGGCTGGCCTTGAATTCACTAAGTGTTATGGTTTGTGACTAGTTGTCCCCCCCCCCACAGCCTCATGTAGGTCATGGGGCAGACCCTGATGGAGGAGCAGCAAGTGGTTTGAAGGGCAGAGCCAGAGGTGCAAACCATTAAACTGACAGTCTAGGGCCATCCCACCCTGAATGCACCCGATCTCTTCTGATTTCAGAAGCCAAGCAGGGTTGGGCCTGGTTAGTACTTGGATGGGTTACCATTAAACTGACAGCATACGCTGCTTCCCCAACAGGCAGCAGTCTCTCAGAGGTGTGGAAAGGGTCATCCTGGACATGGCAGCACCCCAGCCTATCCTCCAAACCCTGTAAAATGGGGCAGAGTCTTGAAACCTCCAGTAACTATGAGCTAAATAAACCTTTCCTTCCCTCACTTTGAGTGTTGGGTATTTGTCCCAGCAACAAGAGAAGAGTAACTAAGACAGTAAGTAACCCAGGCTACCTCATACTCAAGGTGAGCCTCCTGCCTCAACCTCCCCAGTACAAGCATGCCCACCTGTTAAAGTATAGATCAAAATAAAGATAAGTTATTCCGTAGAAAATATAGACCAAAATAAAAGAGAAGCTATTCCATGTTTACTTATATGAAGAGTTAACATCATTAAAATCCAAAACTAGGGCCAGGGAGATAGCTCAGTGGCATAAATGCCAGCCTGGCAAGCACGAGGTCCTGAGTTTGATCCTTGGTACCTAAAATAGAATCTGAAACTATTGCTCAAACTTATCTACAAACCTAGGAACTAACAATAGTATCAGAATCTCAACTGTATCTTTTGTAGACATTGACAAAGTAATTCCAAAATGAGCATGGAGATGCAAGGGATCTTAAATTGCTAAAACAATCATAAAAAAAGACAGTTCCTGTGACTCATATCTTCCCTGTTTCATTGAGTGTCAGTGACATAAAGGAAGAAATGTACATCAGTGGAATAGGCTTAAAATGCCAAAAATTATCACTTTAAGATCAATTGATTTTTTTTTAATATAAAGACTACTTAGTGCAGAAAAATAATTTTTCAACAGATGGTGCAATGGCACCTGGATAGCCACATATAAAAGAAGAAAATTGAATCCTTTCCTCAAATCA